ACCAGGCATGGAGATAACCTAGAATCCCTGCACAGATGTAGCCCATGGCAGCTTAGTGTCCAAGTGGGTTACATAGTAATGGGAAGAGGGACTGCCTCTGACATAATCTGATTGGTCTGCTCTTTGATCACCTCCCCCTGAGGGGAGAGCAGCCTTACCAGGCCACAGAAGATGACAATGAAGCCACTCCTGATGAGATCTGATAGACTAAGATCAGAAGGAAGGAGAGGAGGACCTTCCCTATCAGTGGACTTGGGAAGGGGCACGTGTGAAGAAGGGGGAGGGAGGATGGGACTGGGAGGGGAAGAGGGGGGGTTATGGGGGGATACAAAGTGAATAAACTGTAATTAATTTAAAAAAAGAATAGGATGGGGGAGGGGGCTATAGCTGGGATACAAAATAAAATAATTGTAATAAATAAATGAATAAAAAGGAATAAATAATAAAAAATAAAGCAGGTTTCCAGTCCCCCCAAAAGAATACAGTTGGGGTACAGAGTTAAACAGAGAATTCTCTGTAGAAGAATATAGAATGGCAGAGAAACACTTAAAGAAATGCTCAACATCCTTAGTCATCAGGGAAATGCAAATCAAAACGACCCTGAGATTTCACCCCACACCCATCAGAATAGCTAAGATAAAAAATTCAAGTGACAATGCATGCTGGAGAGGATGTGGAGAAAGGGGAACCCTCCTCCACTGCTGGTGGGAATGTAAACTCTGGAAATCAATCTGGCACTTTCTTGGACAATTAGGAATAGTGCTTCCTCAAGACTCAGCTATATCACTCTTAGACATATATACAAAATATGCTCGAGTACACAACAAGGACTTTTTTTTAATACAAACTTATTTCTTTTATTTCCTGTTTATAATATAATTACATTTTTTTTCCCTTCCCCCTTTTCCCTTCAAAGCACAACAAGGACTTTTGCTTAACCATGTTCGTAGCAGCTTTATTCGTAATAGTCAGAATCTGGAAACAACCTAGATGTCTCTCAACTGAGGAATGGATACAGAAATTGTGGTACTTTTACACAATGGAATACTACTCAACAATTAAAAACAAGGAAATCATGAAATTTGCAGGCAAATGGTGGGATCTAGAAAAGATCATCCTGAGTGAGGTATCCTAGAAGCAGAAAGACACACACAATATATACTCACTTATAACTGGATTCTAGACAAATAGCATAGGATAATCATACTAAAATCTGTACAACTAAAGAAGCTAAGTAAGAAGGAGGACCCTGGGTAAGATGATCAGTCTTAGAAAGGCAAATGGGATGGACATTGGAAGAGTGAGAAAAAAGAGAACAGAACAGGAGCCTACCACAGAGGGCCTCTGAAAGACTCTACCCAGCAGGGTATCAAAGCAGATGCTGAGACTCTTAGCCAAACTTTGGGCAGAGTGCAGGGAATCTTAGGTAAGAAGGGGGAAATAGTAAGGTCTGGAGTGGACAGGAGCTCCACAGAAGAGCAACAGAACCAAAATATCTGGGCACAGGGATCTTTTCTGAGACAGATACTCCAACCAAGGACCATGCAGGGAGATAACCTAGAACCCCTGCTCAGATGTAGCACATGGTAGCTCAGTCTCCAAGTGGGGACCTTAGTAAGGGGAACAGGGACTGTCTCTGAAATGAACTCAGTGGCTAGCTCTTTGACCATCCTCCCTCTGAGAGAACAGCAGCCTTGCCAGGCCACAGAGGAGGACAATGCAGCCACTCCTGATGAGACCTGATAAGCTAGGGTCAGATGGAAGGGGAGGAGGACCTCCCCTATCAATGGACTTGGAGAGGGGCATGGGAGGATATGAGGGAGGGAGGGTGGGATTGGGAGGGTATTTTGGAAGGGGCTACAAAGTGAGTAAACTGTAATTAATATAAAAATTAAAATTAAAAAAGAATACAGTTAATACTGCTCAAGATTGTGCTGTGAGGCTTGTTAAAATAATATCAAAGGTTTTCAGTTATTTGTGTAGTAGCTGAATTAAGAGAGAAACTAAGAGAAACAAACAGTTTTATAAAAATAATTATGACACTCATATACTCAAAATTAGAAAAAAAAATTAAAAAGAGGATATAGTCTTTGTTGTATATCTAAATGTTTCTAAGTTTGCTTACTAGAGATACTTTCATATTCACCCACATTGCTGTAGTTTTCACCATAGGCAAGATGTAACCAGTATAGAAATCCACCAACAAATAGACAATAAAATGTGGCATATATAAAAAATGAAATTATTAAGTTTGCAGGAAAATGGATGGAATTTAAGCTCATGATGGTAACCTCAACTTAAGGAAAATAACGTTATATCTCATGTAACACATACATACATACATATGGCATGACAGCAGAATGAGGATTACAAGTTTCAAGAAAGAGATTTAAAGGGAGAAGAAATGAGAAGATGGAAAGAGGAAAAATATAAAACAGTATATTTGTGTAATACGAGGGCTCTTAATTTAATTAAAAATACACGCATGCATCTACATTATTGTATGGTTTATTTGCAGTACAAAAGGGTCAGAGAGAGTTCGGAGGACACATGGGGAAGTAGTGAATCTGAACAAACACAATGGCATACATGTGTGTATTATTTTATAAGCTAATGCTTTAAATAAAAGCAAGAGAAAATGTTTCTACGACAAATATATTTTGAAATTATTTACACATATTATACACAAGTACATGTAGTCTGTAAAATGTCAGATGCACTTAAGTGAATGACATCACACAAAAAAGATGTGGGTGTCATATAATCGAGAGAAACCTACGAAAGAACATTGCCATTAAGAACAATGTTATTAACAGAACCAAAAAACCTGAGCACAGGGGTCTTTTCTGAGACTGATACTCCAACCAAGGACCATGCAGGGAGATAACCTAGAATCCCTGCACAGATATAGCCTATGGCAGTTCAGTGTCCAAGTGGGTTCCATATTAATGGGAACAGGGACTGTCTCTGACATGAACTCATTGGCCTGCTCTCTGATCACCTCCCCCTGAGGGGGGAGCAGCCTTACCAGGCCACAGAGGAAGACAATGCAGCCACTCCTAATGAGACCTGATAGATTAGGATCAGAAGGAAGGAGAGGAAGACCTCCCCTATCAGTGGACTTGGGGAGGGGCATGCATGGAGAAGGGACTGGGAGGGGAAGAAGGAGGGGTTTATGGGGGGGGGATACAAAGTGAATAAGGAGTAATTAATAAAAATTTAAGAAAATAAAAAATATTCAAAAAGAACAATACTATTAATAGAAAGCATACAAGCATAGTCATTGTATAACAGAGCACAATTTTTTCTGACATAGTCTATTTTTAAATAGTTAAAAACTTTGCAGTTATCTTTCATGTTGGATATAGAGCCTATTTCTTTGTCATTCCCTCTTTCTTAGTATTCAGTAAGTCAGCTGTTTGATTAATACCATCTTTTAACATTCTTTTTTAAAAACTTTATTTGGGTCTTTGTGAATTTCACATCATATACTTTAGTTTCACTCAGCTCTCTCTTTCCCCTCATAACTGCCCTCTACCCTTGCAACCTTCTCCCCCTATAGAGGAAACAAACTCATTGTGGAAACTCTAGGGTGTCACAGTGTGTCCCACAGTATACCCCTTTGTCCACACTTCTTTCAGTGTTCATTGCAATAACTCATTGATCTGGTAATGAGGCCTCTGGCTTCTGCTACTCTATCAGAACTAGAACCTCAGAGACTCCTCTTGGATATCCTGTTGTTGCCATGTGTCATGGAGATCCTGATGATTTGTGTCTATAGGACTGGTCCTTTTGTGCAATTCAGCAGTTCATCAATGGGGTAGATGTTGGAGTGAGCCAGTTCAAAGCCCTGGGTGAGAGGTATCCGAGCTGATCAGCCGACTGGCTATCTCTCTCTCATGCCTTCAGAGCCAGCTCAGCAGCAAGCCCCACAGCTAGGACCAGCTCTTCCCTGCTTCCCAGGCAAGGTGCAGGGCCTGCTCTCCTGAGTGTTGCAGCCAGTGAGGAACATGGCCAGTTCTCTAGATCTCATGACCCTGGGGCCAGATCCCCCACCTGCCATAGATGTTGAGGGACAAGGGAAAGGAAAAGGGCATCTCTCTCTCATCCACACCAACCCCTAGCAGACAACAGGAAGAGCTGACTCACTCCCAACCCCCACACCCAGAGCCAGCTCTACTGTGATGCAGCAGGTGAGAGATAGGGCCAGCTCTCCTGCCTGTCATAAGTGGCAAAGGATGATAGGAAAAACATCTCTCCCTTGCCCATGCCATTGCATGATAGACAAGTTTCAAGTCCAACTCTCCCATGCTCACACCCTCAGGATCATCTCACCCATGCCCCCATCACCAGGGTCAGCTCTACTGTGCTACATGGGGAAGATACAGGACCTGCTCTTCCAAGTGCTGCAGCAGGTGAGGGGCAGAGACAGTGCTTTCATGCTGCCAAGGTTAGCTCTCTCACAATATCCAGGTGAGGGGTGGGGCCAGTTCTCCACAGCCCACAGACATCATGGTCTGGGACAGCAGCCCAGACCAGGGACATCGACCTGGCCTTTGGTGGTAAGAGATCCCTGCTGCTGTACAGCCATGGACCCAGATGTGGCCACTGGCAGCAGCACAGGCCAGGACCCTACTACGGTCCCAGGTGGCATCACTGGCTACTCACATCAGGCTATTCCTCACTACCCCCAAGTCTCCAGTCTTCCTCTCTTCACTGTGCACACATCCTTCTGTTTCTCTTTCTCTTTCATTTCTCCAACACTTACTTGCTCCTCTTAGTGGTGCCTGAGGTCTCTGAGTGTCTGGGGTCATCTCAGGAGTGTTCTCAGAAGTGCTGTGTCCTGCTCGTGCATTATGGCACCTGGCGAAGGTCATCTTGGGCATGGTCTGCCCCCTCCAAGGCCTTCCAGGTGCCAGATTTGTGGTCTTCTCAGGCCAGCTCTCTGTCAGTGCCCCACGGCACCAGTCTGGTGGTTATAACAGGCTCTTTTTGGGGGGAGTGTTAGGCTACTAATCATTCAGATGTTCATAGGTCAGACCACTGAGTGTGGACATGGCCTCTCTCCTCTCTACCACCTTCTGATGCACATTTAACACAGTAGCCATGCCTCCAACACTTCTAGGAGCAAGTCTTTAGCTTTTGTATGTGTATTTATAGATACATGTAAATCTATAAACATGTATACAAAGTTCAGTCTTAGTAATAAGTACAACTTAAAAGAAATTTTAAGAAATTATGAAAATAGTTTTGATACTTTTAATACCACATTTGGTAGGAATATAAAAATCCCTCCTTGAGATCTCACCTGGGGGGGGGGGGGGGGGTGTTGAGATAGTCCTATACAAGCTTAACCACCCTCCCACAGACTGACTGGATTGCCTTTCTTTTGGAAGGTTGATAATTCTTTCTCATTTCCTAAGAAGAGAGGAAGTTTGTTTAAAAGCTGAGAAAATTCAAAGCTGGTTTCTTTTTATAATGAATAGAATAACAGAGTGCTTTGTTGTTAGTCATTTAAAATTGATTACTTTTTTGTTTAGCAGGCAAATCATTTCAACTTGATTAAAACAGATGTGAATGATGAGAAAGACGTTTCAGCATGAAGTGTCTCTGGAAAACGTGAGTGATTCATGGTTACATACGTGGACAAGGAAAGCAGATGTGAGTAGATGGAGCAAAATAAGTGAACACATGTGTTTCTCTTCCAGTAATTTCTTTATCTTCCTACTGCACGATTTTTTACACAACAGGAATGTGCTTAGATATCTAAGGCCGCTGTCAATACTGGGGGTAGAGTGCTGGGGTGAACAGTCTTTACCACCTCTCCAGCTACGTGATCACTGAGCAAGGTGACTGCCTGGGTCCGTACCATCTTCTCATACAATTCTAAAAGGGAGACCATTATCTAGATCTATTTCTTCCTGGAGTATTTTCATGGGTGCCAATGAAAATAAGGTATATCTGCTTGTCAGACCATTTCATAACTGAGTCCAGATAGAATGGACTAAGTCTTGGGAAAGGTGTTTGCATTCTGACTAGGATATTTAAAGGAAAATTACACAATTTCCTTGGAAAGATTTCTTTGGGACAGGGGATGATTATTTGCACAGATAATCAACCAGCTACAGCCAATGAGGCATCCTAAAGTTAAAAATTTTTAAAAAAAAATTTATAATTAGTTTCTTAATCTTTGTTAATTAGTAGTTTAAGCTACATTTACTCAATCTATATGGTTTGAAAATATCATTGGTTTGTGTAAGTGGTTAAATTAATGTATTTATGTAATAAAACATGTTAAAAATCTTTAGAATTTAAAACTTTTTCCAGGCCTCAAAATCTTCTGTATTCTGTATATATTCTGGTGTATGTGTATATCTTCTGTATCCTG